TCTAAAGAGTAAATGTAGCAAATTATAAAGTCATAAAAACATAACGGTAAATTTTAAATAATTTTTTTTTGTCAACAGTTTTCAATTTTTTGCCCCTTTCATTGCAATTTGATGTCAAACTCTTTCTTTTTGAGTTGAATGGATTAGAATTTTACTGATAAAGTAAACAGATCAGCCCATTAGGATTTCGTTAAAAAAATAATTAAAAATTTGTTTTTAAGTTTATTTGAATAAGCTTAAATATTGTTGTACTCGCTTGGGTACAATGGGACTACGCATGCCTATTTCTTCATATATCTTAAGGATCTTTATGTCCTTTGTGGTAAAAAATTTTAAAAGGTTTGTAGGTGCTACTGATTATCTTTATAATAAAATCAGTTCACATGTAGATTTCTTCATTATTTTTCCAAATATTGCCAAGAAAGTGATGAAAAAGTTAATTACTGGAGGATCTACCAGACAACATTTTTGATGAATGGGAATTGTATGACAGTAGTGCCAGTAAAGAATACATCCCATTTGATGAATTTTAATTAATTTATTTTAGCACAGATATCAATAAAGTACACTGAATACGGTAATTCATTATACCCTACACCACTATAGTGGGGAGGGTATTATGCGTTTGTGCTGATGTTTGTAACACCCAAAAATATTGGTCCTACACCCACCCTAAAGTATACCAATCGACTCAGAATCACTTCCTGAGTCGATTATGCTATGTCCGTCTGTCCGTCCGTCCGTCTGTCTGTGTGTCCATGTAAACCTTGTGCGCACTCTACAGGTCGCAATTTTTGAGATAATTTGATGAAATTTGGAACATACACTTCTCTTGGTCCAAGGACGAACGCTATTGAAAATGGTTGAAATCGGTCCATTATTTCACCTAGCCCCCATACAAACGGACCCCCCGAATAGGGCTTTTGACCTCATAATTATGTTAAATGATCTGCTATCTCTACAAAAATTGGAAAAGTTTAGTTTTATATATGTCTTAATAATTCTAGTGATTTTTGTAAAGATCGGGCATTATTTGACCCTAGCCCCCATACAAAGTCCCCCTCAGAAAATGACTTGAATGTCCACAATTCACTTATAAACAGTAGTATCACGATGAAATTTGGCACAAATGAGTTTTATATAAACATAATTCCCAACAATAAATTTTATAGGGATCGGACCAAGTTTTACTCCAGCCCCCATATAAGCGGACCTTCCGATTTGGGCCTTTTAGCTCATAACTTTGTCAAATATACTACTATCTCTCCAAAATTCGGCACAACTATGTTGGATATATACACTGTCGATTTTTATAATGATCGGGCATTATCTGACCCTATCCCCCATACAAAATTCTCTTCAGGAAATGACTTGAATGTCCACAATTCACTTATAAACACTAGTATCAATATGAAATTTACCACAAATAGATTTTATATAAACATTTTATATAAAATAGCCCCCATACAACCGGATTAACAGAAATGCTTCATTATTGAAATTAATCACATTTAATATTCGCAATTGGTGTAGGGTATCATATGGTCGGCCACGGCCGACTATAATTTCTTACTTGTTTTATTTTCATTTCATTTTTTTTTTTTACATTGAATTTCAATCATTACAGCAGAAACCCATAATTATTATATCCCCGGTTTCATTCAAATATATATAATAATTCATTTCAGATTAGAATGTCGAGGATGTGGAATGATCTGCCTAGGGATTTGAAGCTTTTCTCGGCTTCGCCGCTCGGTTTTAGGCGAAAGCTTGAAAAATATGTTATTGACCATGATCTTCGATTGGTGCATTTGTAATTACCGCTCGAATTTTCTCTTTCAACTTGTATTCATTGCTAATATAAAAGGAATATAACCATTTAGGCAATTTAATATTATCATTAAATTTTTTTATTGTTTATTATTATTATTTTATTTTTATAATTTTTTTTATATTATTTTTTATATTATTTTTTATATTATTTTTTATTATATGTTTAACACTTTCTCTAAAAATGTGTTATAATTATTGTTGTAGTAGCTTTTTATAACTATATATGGCCTAAAAGGCTCGGTTATAATAAATGAAGAAATAAAAAAAATAAAAAAAAAAAAATAATTCACAGAGAATTTCAATACATTTCATAATTCATCTAATGGAAAAATTCTCAATACTAATTGATTCCATTTTTTATGTAGGAAAAAAAATAAAAATTGCTTTTAATATTTATTTTATTTATTTGCATTTATGTATATATTTATATTGTCCCGCTGTACCCATCCGAGTACAGCCTAAAAATCGCATTTCCAAAATAATAAATTTATTGATTTTAAGATGGTTGGGATCTAATGGTGTAAGAGAAGGAATACATCAGTTATCGTTAAATTTATAAAATGGTAGTAAAAATTATTATTAATACAGTTATGAACTAAGTTTTACATAATTACCGGGAAACGAATTTTTTCATTCCTGTTTCCTAGCCATACCCCTAATGTACATAGTACTTTCATATTTTTTATAAAATGGTACTTACCTTAATTTACCTAATTTTAGCGAAAAGTGTTCAATATTCAGTTATTCGGTTCATCTGTCCGTTTTTTTATCAACAAAATTTATCTCTGCCAATCTACTTCACTGTTGTATTTCTAATATTTACATGTACATATTATCCATATTCCTTTAGGAACATGCGCTTTACTTGTTTCTAAAAAGATAGCTATGAATTCCGAGAAAATATTTAAAAAGTTAAAGTTTTCTAATGTTTTTATGCTCTCCTGTATAATTTTCCAAATGGTTTATACGCCCTTATTCGGATCCATGTTTCATATGTATAATTTACTACTAGACTGGCATAATCCAGGGCTTATTATGGCATTTCACAATTTCTTAACACTGAAAGTAGTAGACATTTAAATATAAAATAGATAAAACTAAATGAAAGACATTAGAACGGCGAATATATTTTATTATTCAATTCAAAAAACCCGAATTTTGAATTATACCAGTCTTGTAGTAAAAAACGATATATTTGTGCTATAAACCAACAATAAACTTGTTATGTTAATGGGAGTTTCAAATAAAATATTTTTCAAAAATTTGACATTTAAAAAAATAATGGTTTAATTTGTTCTTAACCCATTCGTTCCCACTGTACTCGCTTGGGTACAAAAAAAAACAACCGGTTTTATAATGCTAGATTATCCATATTACTGAGTTTTTGTAAAATTTGATTTTTGGAATATTACTTTAGGATCTAAGGAGTAAATATAGCGAATTATAAAGTCTTAAAAACATAACGGTAAATTTTAAATAATTCTTTTGTCAACAGTTTTCAATTTTCGCCCCTTTCATTGCAATTTGATGTCAAACTCTTTTTGAGTTGAATGGATTAGAATTTTACTGATAAATAAAGTAAACAGATCAGCCCATTAGGATTTTGTTGAAAAATAATTAAAGATTTGTTTTTAAGTTTATTTTTATAAGCTTAAATATTGGTGTACTCGCTTGGGTACAAATATCTTAATTATCTTTAGGATCTTTATGTCCTTTTTGGTAAAAAATTTTAAAAGGTTTGTAGGTGCTACTGATTATCTTTATAATAAAATCAGTTCACATGTAGTTTTTTTATTATTTTTCCAAATATTGCCAAGAAAGTGATGAAAAAGTAATTGAAAAGCCAATATGGTTCAACATTTGTCCATCTTACATGGAAAAAATGAGAATTTTCGAGAGAAAATGTCTCAGATCTTGTACCTCATTATACAGATCACCTAATAGCAACTATTTGAAATACATATCAAATCGGAAGTTATTATACAGCTAAAATAAGCAGAATTGATCATTTTATTATACATCTAATAAGAAACCATATAGTAAAGTCTTTTGAGTGTCATGAAAATAATCTTATATATGCTCCATATTACACCAATAATGTATACATAATTACTACTTTACAAAGCGGTTATGTCCCACAGAGGCTTTAATCTATCTCGATAGTAAAGGTTATATACAAAATGAAATCGGCGTTCCAATATTTTACCACATATATAGGAGAGCTAATATTAAATCTATTCATAACAATCAAATTAATGATACAAATTCTAGATTTGACAAAAGTATTTTCCTTGAAGATATGAATTTACATAATTGCAAATTTAAATATTAACAAATATTGGTGGCTTAACGAATAAGCTATACTTTTCTCTTTTACTTATTGACAATTATTTCCTTAACATTATTTTGTTAAGTTTTTGACAAAGTTTTACTTCACATATGATTATGAATTAATTTGAACATAAAAAATATTATTTATATGTATATAAAAATTTGGTATATAGAACTATTTAATAATATTGTAAATATTTTTATATAATTATTAAAAGCATTTGAGAGCACGAATATGGGACTATGTTTGCGACAAAAAAAAATAATTTTCTATTTACTGTTTGTTTATTTATAGTTTAAGTTATATATCTTTGTTTTTGTTAAATAAACGTTAAAAAAAAGTAATTGAAAAATTAATTACTGGAAAGAATACATCAGTTATCGTTTAATTTATAAAATGGTAGTAAAAATTATTATTAATACAGTTATGAACTAAGTTTTACATAAATTACCGGGAAACGAATTTTTTCATTCCTGTTTCCCAATCCCTAGCCATACCCCTAATGTATGTACATTTACATTCATATTTTTTATAAAATAGCACTTACCTTAATTTAGCGAAAAGTGTTCAATATTCAGTTATTCGGTTCATCTGTCCATTTTTTGGAACAAAAAAATTTATCTCTGCCAATCTACTTCACTGTTGTATTTCAAATAGTTACATGTACATATTATCCATATTGCTTTAGGAACATGCGCTTTACTTGTTTCTAAAGGATAGAAAATACCAGGGCATAACTTCAATTCTAATGATAAAAAACACAGTGTAATGTTTGATTAAAAATAAATTTAATAACAACCAAAATAAAGCGATTTTAATATAATTGTTATTTAAGAAATTTGTACTTAAAATGGTTATACAAAGGGGTTGGAAAATACTAAGCGATACTGGTTCGACATCAGCCTCATCTACTGAAGCAAATAGATCTCCAATGGGTGGTTTAAACTCTTCCTCAGATGATTCAAATTGTTCTAATCAAACTACTCATTCCATGGTTACAAGTGTGGCCAGTCCTCCTAATAGCTCAATTAAAATTGAAACCTCGCCAATAACTTCAAATGCCTCCAGTCACAACAATACCACCAACACTAACCACCAGCAGCATCAACAACAACCACATAACGAATCAATGGTAAGTCAATATCCGTATGTATGTACATATATTTTCTGCATTACAGACGACAATCATAATTAAAAGTCTACATAACTTTTTCATCCAAAGAAATTTATTACAACACCACAAATGGCGGAAATTACTTTGCAGAAATTGCGCCAACGTTTTTCCAACACTACACCAATGACAAGTTCTTCAGCTGAGTCTGCTATGCGCTCTTTAGAACTGGTGCGAATCGCAGTCCAGTCAGCCTTTGATAAGGAAATTGATGAGATGGTTAAACATTTCATAGAGGTATTTTATGTTCTTTGTACTAATTAATTAAAATATAATTTATGTAGATATGTATGTACATATATGTACATATGACACACATACATAATTTTGTTTTTTTTTTTTTTTTTGTCTATTTTTTCACTTCTCAGACCTATTTCAAGCCTGCTTTCAGCAATATCAAAGAAAATTTAGGTCAAGGCGCTATTAACGATGATGCTGTAAGTGTTAAATTATTTGATTTTAATTTCCAAGACCTTGAAGCTGTGTACATTAGGGAGGGTCGAAAATAAGCTTTTTTCTCGGATCAACTTCTAATAGTTAATCTAATATTAATCAATTATTTTGAGGGTAATGGGAAAAATGGTACCTTTTCGACGTATCGTATGTATTAATTTTTGCACCATTTTAGCGTAAAATCGTAAGGTACATATACAAAATTGTCTTTCCAAAAAGATAGAAAAACTTAAATGTGGTTAAAAAAATTTTAAGTTATTAAAATTTCCCTCGAGAATTTTGTGGTTCTGACGACACATAAAAGTAAATATAAGAACAAATATTTTAGTTCTGCAAAATTTTACAAATAAAATATTATGTTTACCTTTTGAAGATTCATATATAAATGTGTTAATCGAATTTTTGTTCAAATTGGATAACGCTTACTAGGTTTAGGCTGTACTCAAAAAAGGACCATTATTTTAACAGCATCTCCAAACTCCATTTTCAAACTTCAATTTAACGCCAATTTTTATTCACTTAAAAACACTTTTAAATATAAATTTTATAAAATTATTAGTCATAGAGGATTAATGGGTATATATCGAGTGTTTGACATACTGTATGATTTATATACATATGTATGTATGTATGTATGTATGTATGTATAAATGTATGTATGTATGTACGTATGTATGTAATTATGTATGTTTGTATGTATATCGATATTAGTATGAGCATCTGGATGAAGAAAAAAATTAATATTTAGTTTTAGTTATCGAAAAATTGAATGAATAGATGTCGAAAAAGATATCAATGAGAATGATATACTCGGATCCATAAGTTTGTAATTCTGGAATAAAATGTCAAGATTATTTTGAAATTTATCTTTTTTTATATTTTTTAAAAACGTTCCAAAAAAATTCCTATAAATCTGGTAAAAAAAAGTGGGTTAAGAAAGTTCCAATTTAGTATGAGCATCTGGATGAAGAAAAAAATTAATATTTAGAGTTTTAGTTATCGAAAAATTTAATGAAAATTTCGTTAAAATATTCTTAATAAATCTTGATGAATAGATGTCGGAAAAGATATTAATGAGAATGATATACTCGGATCCATAAGTTTGTAATTCTGGAATAAAATGTCAAGATTATTTTGAAATTTATCTTTTTTTATATTTTTTAAAAACGTTCCAAAAAATTCCAATAAATCTGGTAAAAAAAAAGTGGGTTAAGAAAGTTCCAAATTTTATATTATTATTTTTGTTTTCTTGAGTTGATTGATAGGTTCCCAAAAAAGGTGCAAGCACCTTAACTTTGGTATTCTGCATTTCGCTTTGAAGCTCCGTCACGAAAATAACAACTGACAAAAACGTAGTTACGATCGTAATGCAGAATACACACAATCGTAAAGCATTGAAATAAAATAGAACTGCTTCTTCTTTTTCTTACGATTCCGTTTCGATCGTAGCGTAACTGAATGCGGAAAAGTAATCGCAATGCTGAACAGGGTTGTCTAATTTTCATTCAAATATTTTACAAGCTCTACTAAGGAATAATGCTGAATTAAAACCTCTTTATCTTAAAATTTTGACGCATAGGAAAAAATAACAATTGAATTTCGATTAATAAAGGTAAGCAAACATGACACAAAAACCTGATATGATAAATAATTCTAATGCCAGATTCAAAGTTTGGATAGCAATCCTTCCTTTCGACTTGTAAAATTTTTTCTTGGCATGTGTTATTAAAAAATCTGTATAAATTAAACTTTTTATACAGCATTTTTTCGTATGTTCCTCGAAAATTCTGAATAAAATCTGAGGAAACATAGTGTATAAGAAAAATTCGAAAAAATCCCTCTGAAATATTATTTAAAAAAATAAAACAAATCAGAATGGGACCACAAATTTAACTACTTATTTCTCCTGATTGTTAAATATTAGTGTGTTTTGACGGATTAAAGGATACCCTTTTACTGAGGATAAATTAAATTCTGCAGTAGCTTGGAACTTAAAATACTGGTCATAAAAATTGGATTGATATTTTTCTTGTAACTCGATAATAAAGGCCTGAACAAGTCAACAATTTGTTAATAATGGCGTGTGCCATTAAGGTCCAATCTTTAGGTGAAAGATTAGCGATTAAATTAAAATTAATCCTCGAAAGTTGTCTTTGAGTACTCAATTAGTTAATTTTGTTTGCAAGTTTAAGCGCCCAATGGAGGTGTTGTTTTTTTTGAAAAGTTATTAAAAATACCGTTATATTTCTTTCGAATTTGAATTTTCTAAACAAAAAAAGTTTGAGTATAAATATTATGAACAGCTTTCATTGACTAAAGTTAATAATATTTAAGAATAAGTTCCTAAATTGTATCAATTTTTTCATTTTTATATTTTTAAAAATAATCTAGAAGCCTTGACTTAAAAAATTAAAAATTTTCTTTCTATTTTCCTATTTGTTAAAAAATGTTTTAAATTTTCTTTGGAAAATTTTTTATTTCTTTATGATTTTTAGATTGAAAACAATGAAATATGCGCGTAACTTGCAGCATTGTCTAAAGAATGGATGTTTAGCTATATTTGCTGATGTTTTTCATTTCATATTTTGTTTTCCAATATTTTTGTTTATTTTTCATAAAAATTCGCTAATATGTATGATTATTTTCTAAAAAAATGGAACATTGGATATTTATTGCAATTTTTTATGAAAATCAAAGAAAAAAAGTAAAAAAAAAAAAATTCATTCATGTACAAATTCATAAATTTTATGAACTTTTAATATTCCGAATGAAAATGGTTTGGGAAAGAAAGTCATGTTCGATTCATACAATTTATTACAAAATTAATTCTAGTTATGCATTATTTTTTTCGGTGTAACTAAATTTCTTAATTTAAAGTTTAAATTTTAAACATTTAAATAATAAATCCCAAATTGACTACAATAAAATTAAGGACGATTGAACTGTTTAACAAAAAGCGAGATTTGTTATTAAAAATTTAAGTCGGGATCAACCTTTAAAAAGCGAGATAATCTCGCTTTTGGTGGGATGTTTGGTGACGTTAAGTATAACTCTCAAACGATGCGTATTACTGTACTGAGCTTATTACGGGAAAATTAATTTATAAAATAAATATTAATAACACAAGTTTACAAATTAATACTTTTTGTTTGCTCATGGAATGAAACATATATTTTTGGAAAGGGATGTGGTCGGTGGTTAATTAACAAATTTTTATGTTTTCCTTTGAGATAAAGGGGTTTTCATTTATCATCTTCCTTCAGTAGTGCTGGAAAAATATTTGAAAACGAGTATTGATTTTTGGGTGGTTGCACCTGTTTAGGGAACCGAACAATCAACTCAGAAAAATTTTTTTAATTAAAAAAAAATAGAAAATATTATTGACATTCTATTTTAGAATTGAAAACTTACGGATTTGAATTTATCCCTCATAGTTCATTTCTTATATTTTCCAAATCCATTGTGTGTTGTGTGTGTTGTGAAAAAAATAACTACAACTCTAACTTTTAAAAGTAATGTATATCTGGAAAACTGGTGTAACTAGAGAAAATGGGCGAACTAGCAAAAGGGGGTGTTGCACATCCCACTCATAATAGTGCAAGCCAATACCAAATGGTGTAAATATGGGAAACTATAACAGCTACAGATCCCAAATTTTGTACGTTAAACTAAAGAGTCAATATGAAATTTTAATAGTTGGCTGACAATAAGATAAACAAAAGTATAACTGTGATAAAATTGATCTGAATTTCATTAATGTATTGTTTTTTTTATTAATTTAAAGAGATCCTGAGCTCTAAATGAATGTTTAGTAATATTTCCAGAAATATAACTTATTTACATTTTAGTTACAAAAAATGTCCTGTGCTCTGTTGGAAAATGCGAAGTCTCAGTATAAAATATTACGTTACAAACCTCAATTATCTACCGCCAGTAATTCCATCACCACCCTACCTAATATATCGGAGATTAGTACTATGCGAATGGCATTAAAAAGGCCAGCACTGAACAAACCCACATCGACCGTAATTGAAATGCAAAAGAGATTCTTTCCCGATAATATGATATTAAAACCAACAGTACAGCAATCATCGCAGCAGACACAACAATCACTAACACCTGTTTTGCCATCGGTAGGAACTATAAAAGCATCTTTGGCACAAAATCATCATCATAGTACGTCATTTCTTCCACACCACCAACCGCAGCAACAACAACAATCATTGCAACAACCAGCAATAAATGCCGTAGAGGTGCAACAACTTCAGACGCAACAGCAACAATCACATCCAAGGAGACAAATATTCTGGAACACAGCCCACATATCAACCTCAACTAAATTCGTTTTAGACGTACAGGCAAATCAGGCATTTGGTTTTAGCGCTGAGGGGAAAGAACGTTTAGCCAGCAAACATCCTGAATTAATTCGTTATTTGCCCGACACTGAAGATCGTGACTGGCTGATCAATCAACGGATCATACCGCAACAGAACCGAAATTCTCGATTTCTGTTTCTGATATATGACGAAGTGTGTCACTTATATCAAAACCATGAAATCTATAAAAATAAAGTATGTATCGATTTATCCGTAATGATGACATTTACTGTACCCGATTTTATGATTCAGAAAATGAAAGTATTTTTTGTTGATTTAAATATTAAAAGCCGAGGACTAATTACAAACTCATATTCCATTGCTGGTGCAACAGCTGCCAAATTACATCAGCCTCATCAACAAACGAATAGCCATTTGCGCAATGCTTTACTTCTTGGAACCCAACAGCCATTAGCAGCTTCCACAACAACAACGTCAATTGTTGCCACAACTAGTGACGTTGCATCGTCGACTGTCATTGCATCCTCTTCTTTGTCAGCACCTTTAGCGTCATCTTCTACTGGCAATATAACATCTACGGAAACATTGCAACAACAAAAATCTAAGTCAAGCAATTTAAGCTCATCTCATGCTACTCTCACCGCCCTTTTAAACAATTCCTCCTCGACATCAGCGAATACATCAGTGAACTCAACAGCAATAAGTGAAAAATCTCTTAATTCATCATCGTCTTCAACACCCACTTTATTAAACAAATTAAGAAAATAAATTACAAAAAATATATTAAAAATAAACAGTGGTTTATTTGTAAATATTATAATAAAACAAGTAACTGTTTAAATTCGACTATTGCAAATATGTATATGTATGTATGTATGTACATATCATAATAATTCATAACTAACATTCTCAAACTGTTTCATTCATGAAGAAATTTGTGTTTATATTTTACTTATTTTCTTTAATCTATATTATCTATATGGGAATTTCATGTCAATTTTTGAAACCGATGTCTTCTGATCGGGTACCAATGTTAATCCTATTGGAAAGTAGTTTAGACAAAAATATTCAACAAGTCAATGTTTGTCATTTTTGTCAAACGTGTATTTCTTCACATACATACATATGTATGTATTTACATATGTGTGACGCCATAATTTACTACATAATTTACAGGTATATAAAACTGATTTCTGAAAATTTTTATCACGATTGCAACATAAACAACATATTTATTAATGTTTTGACTGTATGGGGGCTAGGTAAAATCATGAATCAATATTGGCTATTTGTAATACCAAACAAGATTTGTCATTGATGAACATTTTTGGAGAATTTCAGCTCCCTTGCTCATATCGTTAGGATCCAATCTATTGTTTTCAACAAACAGACTGTCACATGGACATCGCTAGATAATCTCAAAATCTTATAAGGGCCCACAAAAATTATTTATTACACTCTTAAATTTCAGATATATACAAATTAAATTGGGACATACACCAAAAATCATATACCAAAAAATCGGATATTGCATAACAATTAAATCGAAACAAACGGCATACCTATTTCTCAGATACAACAATATTTATTGACGGAGTTTTAGTTTACAATTCCTACATGTTTATAGTGTTTTTCATACTTTTAATATGTATTAAATGTGTTAAACAATATATTTTTATTATTTAACAAGTAAAGGCCCAAATAGAATACACAAGCGGCTTGCCAAACATACCATTATTTTACGTTTGTGCAAGCCTGTTGTGCAGAGTATGAGGGCGCTTCGTGATTGTACAAATCGGCATATGAAATCCAAAAGGCCCTAAGTTACAAAAAAATCAAAATCGACTTTTTGATTGATTATGATACACCGTATTAAAATACATGTTCCTGCTAAATTTTGCACTCCTACAATCAAAATCAACGTCGCTATCTTCGAAATTCTAAAAGATTATGTTCTAAAAATACCTTAAAATTCATGAAAATGTTAAAATTCTTTTGAGTTTTTAACTTCGAAATTGTAAAATGTTACAAGTTGGCATCAAATAAAACAAAAATGGCACTTTTAGCGAAACCTTGCGATTGACAGATTTTTTAACAGCTTTAGAATTTTTTCAAAAAAATCCAAAAAGAAGCATTATGCTTTCCATGTTTCGGCCTATTTGACCAACAAAATCTGATTTTAATTTAGTTAAAAATGTTGAAACTTACTTTTTTAATGTAACTTACGCCCTTTTGGGTTTCTGAAAAAACAAATTCTCAAACGCTTAAGTTTCATACCTCCGCAATTAAAACAAAAACCGCAAATTTTTCTTCAAATACCAATTTGTCAATAAAAAATAAGCTTAACTTGAGAAAATGTTGAAAATTTTTGGATTATTTATCATTTTAAAAGGTTTTTTGGTTCTCATGAAAAATTTGTTCAATGTAACTTAGGGCTTTTTGGATTTCATATGACGAAATGCTTGCTGTTTGTACAAAAATTTAAAAAATTGATTTTTACACAAACATATTCAATTTTTTTCAAACCGTTTGTATTGTTTATATGCATTATAATGAATTATTATAACAAAATTTTCACAAAATTTACATTTCTAAGAAAAATGTAAATCGGTGTTTGTGGGAGCAATGTTTGTGTAGTGTGTGTGCGAATGAAAAAAGTATGTTTGATAAGCCGCTTGCGTAGTCTATTTGGGCCTTAAGAAGTCTATATTCGCCTTTGCCGAATTTTATATACACTTCACGATAGGGTGTTTAAAAAAAGATTAGTTTATTAAAATTTCAATTTAATTCATTTATTACACCCTAAAACAATTTTGAAAAAAAACTTTCACACATGGAAAAGTTGATATGCATGTGAAATTAGATTCCATTTATAGCAATTCTGCGTACTCCGATTTTTATAATCAATATTGGTATCAAATGAAAGCTGGGAATCTGTACATTCTATCTATATTATTTATTTGACTCACTTAGAGAAAAATCGTAAAAGAAATTAAATTTAAAAAGGTCTCATTTTCGAAACAAAATTGTTTAACTATTTTTTGTGACAAATTTTCTTTAAGCTTCCGTTTCTTTTTTAATCCTGATGAATTAAAATAAATCATATTATTTTGAAGCAGAAGTTCTCAGCTTCATTTGATATTAATATTAAAACCAACTTTTTTATATAAATTTGGAATCCCACTTTTGAAATCGTATGTCCTTTAAACTTTAAAGTCCTTTTACAGGAGCATAACTGAGTACAAAGAGTTAATACTAATGGTCCACACTTTTCTGTACACATAGATTTTTTATGTGTGAAAATTACTGTTGCACGGTGTTATGCTATCACTAATCTTAATTTTATCGTATTTAAGTAAAAATGTACTTAAATACGATAAAATTAAAATTAGTGATAGCATAAAACCGTGCAACAGTAATTTCACACATAAAAATTTAGAACTTAAGTTTTTGACAACAAATATATATGTAGGTTCTTCATGACAGAAGTATCGCTTTATGTACTCTAATACCAATTTTAAATTAAAATTAGTGATAGCATAACACCGTGCAACAGTAATTTTCACACATAAAAATTTAGAACTTAAGTTTTTGACAACAAATATATATGTAGGTTCTTCATGACAGAAGTATCGCTTTATCTACTCTAATACCAATTTTAAAGAATCACGATCTCCAGAATGACAATAATTATAAAGCCTAAGGAACACCTTTAAATAATATGGACATTTTGGTCATATAGGATTTTCTTTCTAATGAGTGTAACTTTCAAATATTGGTCCTAGCAAAAATTTCCAAAGGAGTTTAGATAGCTATTTCTTTACTGTTTACAATTTTATTTTTTTTAAATAATTTTGTTTTAATTATAAAAATATGTAATACAAAAAAAAAAAAAAACAGTTTGTGTTCGAAAAATAAAAAAATATGCAAAATATGTTGTAAAAATGTTATAAATATGCAAAATATATGCAATTTAAAGCAAAATACGCATTTATAACAAAATATGCAAAAACATGCAACAACAAATCGATGCCATTTTGTTTCAAATTTTTTGATTGATAATAATAACATTATATAATTGATAATAATAACATTATGTGTCTACAATATAATAACAACAACAAAAGTTTATTTCCATTTCGCTGTGAGTTACAAGAAAATAATAACTGAATTAACTCCATAAATAGCTGTTCGAAACTTAAGCAACTTTTTGATCTTCTTATGAAAATCGTTGGTCCTTTTAAGTTCCAAACACCTTTATGGAATAGATTAGTTACTAGTGTAGTTCGTAATGAATCCCAAGCGGATTTAAGCCATCCGCAAGCTGCAATGTTTTCTAAAACTGCGAGTTTCGACCCAGCGCTTCAGAATGCCGAACAGCATCTCTAAGGGACTTGAGTCGGGAGATTTTGATGGACAATCAAATAATTTGGGTCCCATTGCTCGATAACTACTCTTAGATCAACTTTGCCAAAGGTTTTGGTTCATTATCATGCTGAAAATCGCAATAAAGTAAGTTGTTCTGTTCGTTGTTCTCAATCATATAATTCATTTTGTTGGCGAAAAACGTCCAACAAAAACGTTTTACCTTTTAGTTGTTTTTATAGTTGACAATGGCGTATATAAAAATGGATAAATTGGACTTTTTACCTTTAATATATAACTGTTTTTGTAGATAGAGCCGTTTGTTTTTTGTCAATAAAATCGCCTATTTTGATCGTATGAGTCCAATTTTTTTGGGCATTTTGTGTGGGCATTTGTTTTGATGCAATACATTATAATCTACAATATAATCGATTTTGAATTTTTGGTTAGTTAGGGCCTTTTGCGTTTCGGGTGAAAACAGTTTTCGGAAAATATAACGAATTTTGTTTTAAATTTAATGCAAAACTTCTTGCAAATACCTATATTAAGTTATCTAAAAATATAACATGAAGTGTGCAGTAGGCAAGTGCAAGCAAAATTATAGCCAAAAAACATGAGAGAAATTTTGAAAAATTAAAATTCTGTGTATATGAAGCTTATGAAAGTCTTATGTAGATAATTATGAGTACTAAAGCCGTATTTGGCTAGGTGAAATAATAGAGGGATTTCTATAATTTGCAATAAGATTGATTTTGAAACATCTGTACAAGCCCAATATAGGTGTTCAAGTTATAATAACAATATTTTTTATATATACATAGATAAATACATATGTATTAGGGTATTCAAAGTACTAATCGTCGATCGGTTAATCGATCAATTTTTGACGAATAATCGCTAGAACGGGCTAATACAGAAACATTTCAGATTCTTGAGAAGAAATCTTGGAAATAATGATATCGCCTTTACTTCTACAACCAGTTTTGAGGAACCATGTTTTGTATGAATTCTGGAACTAGTTAAGAGATATAAAGAACATAAAATTAATTAACTTAATTTCTTTATATACACAGAAAAAACTGAAAAACGATTTCAATTACCAAAACCTCGTTTTCAATTATTTTATTTATTGAAGTTCAACCTATAACAAAAATTGTATATTCAATTACTACTTATAATTGATTTCGTATAAAAATTTTTATTTTTTTATATTTTTGTTGTTGTTAAATACGTATTTGATTATACATTTTTATGATTCAAATACAAAATGAATTGAACCCTTTTAAAATTTTCGATTAATCGTTTAATTGAAAATTTTTTAAAATTAATTTTTTCTGTGTAGAAAAGGATTTCACGTGAAAAATAATTTCTAATATTTAAAAAAATATTTAAAAAATTTACATAGAATTTAATTTAAAGAAGTGGAAATTATAATTTTGTTTGTTATAGGAAGAAAAATATTGTGAAAAAGAACCGAATAAATTTGAATAATCAGATTATTAATCGGCTAACATAAAACCTCAAATAATTATTTGTCGAATAAACCGAATAAGAAAAAACCCAAATAATTGAATACTCTAGTACTACAGTCTGTAGAGTGTAAAACAATGTGTAAAATTATTTTAAATTGTTTTCATATAAATATAAACATTTTTTAATTTCCACTGAACCTCTCCTCTATATAGACGATGATCCAAAAGGAAAAACAGCAAAAAAATAAAAGCACACACATTCAGGGAAATGGACGTGAAGAGAAGTGGGTAGAAAATAAATGATATAAAATTGAAATTATAAACATTTGCAAACCACTATAGAGTGCATGCAGTAGCATTTTATGAGTTTTTACAGTATTTTTCGGCAAAAAACAATAAATACAAAAATGGAGCAGTCTATTCGCAATGGTATGGATGGATAGAAAACAGTAGCAGGCAGCAGAATCATCAGTAGCAACAGAATAGAAACAGGCTAAAATATATAAAACATACAGCAATTCGGATGGATGAGTGCGTATTATTACTGTGTGTGGGACGACGACGGCAATGAAGGCATATGAAAATACATACATACATATGTACATACATTTGTAGATATAGTAATGTCGACCGCGTTTGTGATGACAGCGTCGGGCTGCTTTGACAACGATGTGATTTTGGAAGCAATGTTGACTTTGAAATAATTAGTCGGAGAAAGAACGCAGACAGTACAGGAGGTTCTTATCAAGCGAAAAGATTTGTTATTAAGAAGTTAAGAAAAATAGGAAGTTAAAGTCGAAATGAGTTCCCACGGAGTTGTAAGTTTAAGATTAATATATGTTATCTTTACGTGCCAAAGTTAAATAAATTTTATAAACTTTTCATTACTAAATAGGACGAAGATCTTACACCTGAGCAAATTGCTGGTAAGTTTCGTTGTTAGTTAAAGTTTGAAATTATAATTTCTATTTTATTTTCCTTTCAATTTCAATAGTTTTGCAAAAAGCTTTCAATAGTTTTGATAATCAAAAAAGTGGCAGTATTCCAACCGAAATGGTGGCCGATATTTTGCGTTTGATGGGTCAACCTTTTGATAAGAAAATCCTCGAAGAACTTATTGAAGAAGTTGATGAAGACAGTACGTATTATTTACATGAATAGTTAATCAAATATGATATACAGATACATATGTATGGGCAATTTCGTGTCAAGTGACCCAACTTTTAAAATCGATGTCTTCCAATTTGGATGAAATTTGCACCAAAGTTGGTACTATTAGATAGTAGGCCAGACACAAAGCAAAACTTCGTTTTTGAAAAAATAGGGTAAAATTAAGTGCCAAATAATGAAAAAATCTTATTCTTAAGTTAAAAAATATTTAGATATCCCGCTCGCATCCCTTTATAGGACTATAAAGCCCTTAAAGGAAAGCTTTCTTTTGAGCAAAAAAAGGCTCATTTTGGAAAAAAACATTTTTTTGGAAACAAATGAAAAAAATGAACTCCTTTGGACAATTTTTGCAAGGACTAATAGGTGAAAAGTTACACTCATTTGAATAAAACCCTGTATGACCAAAATATCCAACTTTGAGTCCTGCAGTTCTTGACCGATACAGCTGAAAATTTGTGTCGGGCCTACTATCCAATAGTACTAACCTTGGTGCAAATTTCATCAAAATCATTTTTTTTGAGTTGAGTCACTTGACATGAAATCCCCATATGTATTAACATTTTTTTTATTATTTTTAGAATCCGGCCGTTTAGAATTTGGCGAATTTGTACAGTTGGCTGCCAAATTCATTGTTGAAGAAGACGCCGAAGCTATGCAAAAGGAATTGCGTGAAGCTTTCCGTTTGTATGACAAACAAGGTAATGGTTATATTCCTACAACATGTCTCAAGGAAATCCTTAAAGAATTAGATGATCAATTAACTGAACATGAGTTGGACATTATGATTGAAGAAATTGATTCAGATGGTTCTGGAACTGTTGATTTTGATGGTAAGTGCTACTAAATTATAACAATTATTGCAATTAAATTATGGAGACTGTCACAGAATTTTATTTCGATCGGTAGTAGAATTATTTTTTAATTTTTCTTCTTAAAATAGGACAACGACATAATTTTCAAATTCGGAATGGTGCAGGATATAAAGATAAGATAACTTGATGAAATGTAGTACACGATCAAGTATGAACCTATTTATTTATTCGTTTCTTGTACATGTACTTCGATACATGTACATATACATATGTATAGCTGAAAGTAAAGAAGCACTATAAAAAGTATCATATGATCGAACAGGCCCCATTATATTTTCTTACATGTTTTTTATTAGTAAAAACTCAATCAGAAAATAGAAAAGTTTGTTATTGTTAACACAGTATATTGTGTTAAAAAGAAAAATATATCGTTCATTTACTACAAGACTGGTATAACTTAAAAAACATCGATTCGAGAAAACGTTCTAGTAATGTTTTGAATGCACCAAAATATTTCCCAGTCCTTTAATTGATTTCTTCAATGATAATTTTTTCATTCCCACACACACTACACAAACATTGCTTGTACAAACACCGATTTTTTCATGTTTTTGTTTACTTGCAAAGAACTGATGACAATTATTCTTAGAAATTGAAATTTTGTAAAAAAAAAAATTATTAATGAATAAACAATACAAACGGTTTGACAAAAATTCAATATGTTTGTGTAAAAATCAAAATTTGTACAAACACGAAACATCCTCATACACTACACAACAGGCTTGCCCAAACGTAAAATATTGGTATGTTTGTCAAGCCGCTTGTGTAGTCTATTTGGCCCTTTAATTTCTGTTCAAAAACGAAAATTTTTAATAAGGGTTCTCATTTAAACGTTCAAAACCCTCGTAAACTGTGCAACCTGTGCATGTTCCTACTCTCGCATTTAAATTGTATGGGAATTGATTCGCACAACGCTTATAAATTTGAGCGACTATTGAGACTGGCAAACATGAACAGTCTCATTGTGCATTTAATAGAACATAGAAAATGGGAAAAGCCTTTAAATGAAAACCCTTAATATGTGTTTTAAACGTAAATATCTCATGAGTTTTACAAATAATTTCAAAAGATAAAAATCATTGCCTGATTTTTAATAGCAATTATAAATATTTGCTATTAATTGTGAACGATTTTTTCTGCTTTTATTTACAACACTAATTACAAACACACAAAATACACGGCTTTTCGCTTCAAATTCGTTCTTACCTCTATCTCCGGTGCTTCTAGAAGATATATTATAATCCCATTCGTCGCCTTTAGTCAATTTTTGTTCAATTTATTCTTTTATACTTTTTTCATTTGTTATACCCTACACCACTTTAGTGGGGAGGGTATATTGGATTTGTGCTGATGTTTGTAACATACAAAAATATTCGTCTTAAAGTATACCAATCGGCTTAGAATCGTTTTCTGAGTCGATTAAGCAATTTCCAAAATAATTAGATGAAATTTGGCACGCACGTTTTATTTGACCCAAGGACGAAGCCTATTGAAAATGGTTAAAATCGGTCCATTATTTCACCTAGCCCCCATAGAACAGAACCCCCCGAAAAGGGCTTTTGAGCTCATAATTATGTTAAATATACAGATATATCGATAAAATACGGCACAACTAAGTTTTATAGAAGTCTTGATGACCCTGCCAAATTTCATAAAGATCGGGCCCCATTTGACCCTAGCTCCCATACAAAGTCCCCTTCAGAAAATTACTTGAATGTCCCAAATTAACTTATAAACACAAATATCCCGATGAAATTCAGCACAATAAAATATTACTTAAATATAAATATATTCACAAAATTTTATAGGGCTTGGTCCATATTTGCCCCTAGCCCCCATATAAAGCCTCTTTCAGAAAATTAGTTTTTCATCCATAAATTGCTTAAATGTATCGGAACAAGGGAATATTGAAGATAAATGCTTTATTATGAAAAATAAATCACATTTAATATTCATAACTGGTGTAGGGTATCATATGGTCGGCCACGCCCGACTATACTTTCTTACTTGTTTTTATATAATTTTTTTTTTATTTTTTGAGCTGTCAGTTTGTATTGCAAAATGTCGAGTAAATAAAAACTACGTATTTAAGTGTAGTATAATTCATAAGCCGTAGCATGAGTATTTCTGTATATTTTATTAGTGTATTGTAAAAATATACACTAGATTGTGAATTGGGCTAATAACAATTACTGAATTTAAAGTTATGCCAGTATTGTACTAAATGAGCGATATGTTGATATATTTGGTGTGTTAGCGTACTTTCCAGTAAAAAATATACAGTAACTTTATGATAGAGAGTTACATATTTTGAATTTACTCTCAATGAAAAAAAATATCAAAAAAAGTACGCGAACGCAAATTTGTAAAAAAAATTGCAAGTTTTTGTTTGTAAACCAAGATTAGAAATGCCCGTTTGCTGAAATCTCAATCGCTAACAAAACACCAAAAACAAACAACAAACAAAATATGATTTTTCTTATAAATGAAATGATATTTAAAGTTAACAAATCATGTAATATCATTAAAAATAAATTATTGTTTTAAAACTTCGTGTTACAAACATGTTACTAAAATAAAAATTTTGGCAAAATCGCTAAGAGAAAGACACTTTATATTGTTTTAAAAACGCTAGATTGTGAATATTTATGATTTTCACAACAAACAAACTCTTTTAAAAATTAATTTATGATAAATAGAATTAGAATAAATCTAATTACAAATAATTTTTTAATATTCGTGTGTTATTAATTTATATATTTCTTTCTAAAAATGTAAAACTTACCAAATTTTCGTTTTATTTGGTTTGTTTACATATTTATTAATCAACTATATGTTGTGAACATATGTTTGATATTTTTTACTGGGGAAAAAATATCCAGTAAAATTAAAAAAATCTCTATCAACGAACTGTCATTTTTATCGCTCTCTTACTCTCTCTTTGCAAGTTTTCAAAAGTACGCTAACGGAATCCAGTAACAATTGTCACAAATTATTACAAATTGTTACAAATTATCGAGTACGCGAACAGAGCTATTATTATGCACACACAAAAACATAAATTCATCTGGAGTACGGCAATCTGTCAGTATTTAGAAGATCAAAAACAAAGAAATAAAATAAATCATTGTGTTTATAGAAGTATGTACATATGTATGTGTGTATGTATGTATATTAGATTGGCCCAGATAGCCGGTTTTGTTTTAAGATGTTTCTGAAAATAAGTTGGTTAACTTTTTTTATTAGTTATGGATATACAAAATTAAGTCTTATACAGATATAGTAGTAGACATTCGTTTGTGTGCAACAAGTATTGCTTTTATTTCCGAAGAAATAAAATGATTTTGATATTTTTACTTTAATTTGATTACTTCATAGTTATTAAATAATGAAATATTATAAATTAATAAAATTAATATTTAATCGGCCTTTTTTCATAACTTTTTTTTATATTTAATAATAAATAGATAATTAAAATTCTACTGCTCGAATATCATATAATAATTTAAGAAAACAATTTAAAATGTAAAGAAGTTTAAAAAATTTGTTGGAAATTTCCGTAAAAAACTAAATAGTAGCGAAATTGATTTTACGGCACTTGACAAAACGTCGGCAGAAAAATTGTCAGTTTTTGGTTTATGTCACGACAACTCACAGATAATTTTATTGAAATAATGCTATATTTTATAAAAACAATTAAAATTAAATGCAAATTTTGTAAATAAACACTAATTTCACTAAAACTTACATATGCCAAGACAACGTTGTCTAAAGAACACTGTCATAACGACGTTATAACGCTAATAAATGCCGTCTATACCTACTAATTTTTTATCATGATAACAGTTTGACGTTTATCATAATAAATATTTTTCTAATATAGACATGGCAATAAACTTGAACATAACATATATAATATGTATACATATATTTAAAATTATTAACTTTTTGAACTACTTTGGACAATTTTTGCTAGGAAATCGAAAATGCCCTGATAAAATATTTTATTAGCCAGCAAAAAAGATTTGAAATTTCCCTATGTATGTTCGATCTCCATACAAATAGTATGATATTACGATTGTTTTCAATAAAAAATATGTTTTTGTTTTATTTACAGAATTTATGGAAATGATGACAGGCGAATAATAGAAAAATCTAAAAATATTATCATCCCTACCTGTGTGTGCCTAATTAATTTTTAAAATATACATATGCTTGTTAGCAACAGTTGGCATTTTTTAATTCAAAATTAAAACTTATGGTCCTGTCTATTTTCGGATTTTAAACACACCAACAATTTATCAACTTTTATAACGAAAACAAAATAAACCAACACAAAATTACATCTTTGGTAATAAAACTTAGTTCTGTTTTATATATACATACATACAATATTTATATAAAATTTTTATAATAAATATTACATTAAATAAGAAATACTTCACTAGATTCATTAAATATTTTATACATTTTTATATCGCTCATTTACAAATTCTGCTATCTTGAACATAAGGTTACAAAAGTCTTTCATATAAATAAATTTATCAAATTTCAAATATGTCTATAATTTTCCGTGTGAAATCGATTTTTTGTTGTAAACTTAACAACTAAAATTTATGTTTTCACGAAAATTAAATAAATAAAAATTAAATTTCAATTCAGATGAGATACATATTAAACTCTACTATTTATCTGAATATGGTTTAATTTTTTAAATTAGTTAAAAAATTTTGAATAAGGGAACCACATAAGGGGCTGTGGTCAGTTGTAGATAAATCCTCATCAAATTCGGATTGCATAATTATGTTCCTATAAAACTTTTTAAGTCGATTTTCATCTCATAAGAATTGGATAATTTTTTTCGAAAATGTTTTTCTTCTAACAAGAACCACATTTAGTGGTTGAATGAGATAATAATTACACAATTTTTTGATTGATGTGCACAAAAGTTATAGCTGTTTAAAATAATAAAACTTTAAAAATCGCTAAAAAATATGTAGTACTCATTCGTAAACATTTATGAGGACTATCAGCTAAAGGACCCTTCAGACGATCACACTTTACGTACGACAAGTCTAATGAAAAAGTAAAATGAAATTCCATTCGTATGACAAAAAAGAGAATAAAAGTCGTATGATTTATATTTTTGGTGGATTGTAACAGCTGATGGCCAGCTGTGTTGACGAGGCTACCTTTTTAAGTGTACACTGCAGTGTACACTAAACAGGTACGGTGAATCAATTAAGTAATTTGCCTATGTAAAATTTTATAAATTTTAAGAAAAAACTTTATCTGAACAATTATTTTTAGCAAAATAAAGCAATTTGTTTGTTGTATTTTTTAAAGAATATCTTATATTTTAATTTTCTACCATAAAAAGTAAAATCGTGATATTAATTAACGAGATTTTTGATAAAATCTGAACGTATTGTTAATTTTTAAGGTCAATAAAGTATTTTGCTTTTTTAGGTTTTTTGTTAATTTTTTTAATATTGCTGCATTATTTTATAAAATTTCATATTTTTATTACTCCTATACATTAGAATAACATTTTTTAGATATTTTAGTAGTGGAACGACTAAGTTTGGACATTTCTTAGCCGATTTATTATCCTATATACCTATAAGAATTTTTCAATATCTGACTTAACATGAAATCTATCGTTTCTTTGATTAAATTTCGAAAATAATAAGTAATTTTGAATTGGATACATGATATATTAGGAAATCAATGGATTTGGACCTAGAAAAAAATATTAGTGGGGTATAAATCTATAGATTATAACAAAAAAAATCTGGGTTTTTGGTCATTTTGTATTGATAAACAAAAACTACACTACGGAAACCCCATCTATTTGGGGAGTACTGTGTGAATTTTATTTAGAATTGTATAATATTGATTCTTATTCAATAAAGCTAACACTAAGTACTATCCTAGCCACTCTAAGTATGGGAATATCACCGTATACCACTATAGAACTATTACATGCTAGAATTTTGATATTCTACCTCATATTTTGAATGCATTATTTTATGAATAAAATACAGTAGGCGTAGCTGGATTTGGATAGTTATTCTTGATTTGGATTCTAACTATATATAAGTGTATGTATTAGCTGATAAATATTGCTTTTGTGGATCTTAGGTGATGAGAACCGCCTCTATTTGTAAATATCTAAATTAATTATTTTTCCGTACCACAAGATAGTTCACTTTATATTGTTTCCCAGCAACCTAAGGTCTGTTTAGAGGTCTAAATTTAAACATAGTGTTCTTTTAAGTTCGTATACGGACTTTGGAGAAGATAAATGAGGACTTCAATGGTTTTTGCTTGGATACAAGTCGCTCTCCTTTGGCAGTTAAAGATTTTGAAAGACAACTCAGTGCGTTTTTTTTTAATAATTCTTTGTGTTAATTCATCAATTTCTATATTTTATATTTTTTAATGATTGATTAAACATCTCATAATTGAATTCCATTGATTTATACTTGTTCTAAAAATCTAAACTAATATTTTATATTTGAATTGCCTCATTATTTCCCTTTAAACATTTTTAACGCGAATAACTACACAGTTTCACACAATAAGGATATGATTTTTGAAAATTACGATTGAAAAATACTTAACACGTGTCATTCTAACAATAAAACAATAAATTTCAAAAAGCAATTAAAAAATAATTTGAAAAACTCAACGAAATTAACTGGAAATTTCAATATGCAAAATACTTTATTGACGTGCAAATTCTGATGAAAAATAATAAAATGCAACAACAAATGCACCAACATTTTTATTTTAATATTTTTTTCTTGGTTTTCCCATTCTACACAATCTCTATTTTCAATTGGAAAACATAAATTTACTTTTTACCTGTTTTTTGAATTTTATTTATGAACAAAAAACGAAATTCTCTTAAAAAAAGGTAGGCAAAAAACTTAGTTGATTCACTGTATATGCAATCGAACAGCTGATAATTTTTTTGTATTCTTATTTGCATACCTTCTCCGTCAAAATTTGTTTTTTTTATTTGAAATTATTGTAACAAAATAAAATTTTAATGATAAAAAAAATTAAAAATGTTTAGTTTATAAAAAAATAATATTGTTTGCACAAAAAATACATTTCAACTATTGCGCCCTTTTGTTAGGTCCACTGTCTTACTTTATCCGTTTAGAACAGAACTTTAATGGCACATATCAGGTCATTCCAGATATTAACACTCCCCCGTATTGCGCACGTTGCCAAGGCCGTTGTCGTTAGCCAAACTTTGGTAGCCACAACACAACTTTATTGACACAAATCAGGCCAATTCAGATATCAACAATATTTAGTATTGCGCCCGTTGCCTGGTCCACTTTCGTTAGCCAAACTCTGGTAGCTAAAGATACAAATCTTGCTTTTTTGGGTCCATTGTCCGGTCCTCTGTAACATTTACCAAAAGGATCCATATACACAGCTTAATATAAGTATATAAACATGCATATCCCTTAAAATTTCATTTAAAATCACTGCATATTTTTTTAAATAAAATTAAGAATTTTTTAAGAGACAAACATCAAAAAAAAATTTTATTTATTTCGACATTGAGCTCATACAAGTACAAAAACAAAATACATGTTGTTTTCAAAGTAAATTAATAAAGTAGCGACAGTTCTACAACAAATACAACATTTACAAAAACCACAAACGATTTTGTTTTTGGTTTAAGGTCTTTGCTGTCAAAATCATATGATCTTTGTTTACAAAAATTTTCTTTGATAACAACACAAAAAAAAAAATATTTTAGTAAAAGACATTTTATTAGTTTAGTTTAAGAATAAATAAAAATGCAAATAAATAAAAAATGTGTCAGCAATTTATTTAAGTTTGACATACATTTAATAGAAATATAGTATTTTTTCTCCAAGAAATATGGAAACTACTTCTGGACTTATTCACTTATTCTCGGCTGGTCGTTTTGGCTTATTGTAAACAATCCAGGTGGAGGGTACATCCCGTGCATTTGATCATATTTTCAGGCCAGCTGCTACACCATTATGAAATGTTGGCCATAAACTCATATTGGCCTGGAATTCAATTTGCTGCATTTCAACAGTGGTTCCTTTAATAGGTTTCTTGCTGGTTAGACATAGTTTTGGTATTGGCATTGATTCCGTTGGTTCTTAAAGTAAACATACCTCCTCTACCCAAAGGTAAAGTCATGGTACGAGTGCACAATGTAAATAATTGTTTTTCTTGCTCCTCAATAAATTCATGATCAGAAGTTCCAGGCGATTGTGTAATATCTATCTGTTATGCGCATATCATCCGGATAACGTAGACTTAAGAATTTGGTACCTATATTATCCATGCCATCATCTAAAGCACCTTCCATTTGTGATATGCCACTTTTAGAGGGTGGACAACGAGCCGATAAGGAGTCTTCCGTGACTATGTTCATATTTTGCGAATAATTTGAACTTTTATTTAGGGCATAATTTCGTAAATCCCTACGCCTCACTTCACCTATCAATTTTTAAATTTGTATTTTGTAAAACACTTCATTATGGCAGGTGATTGTTTGCGTTTATTTTTCGAGTACTTATTGGGATGCAAAATTGATAAATTACCAATTGGAAAACGAAAAAGTAGAATATACTTACATTGGTTGAACGGAAGGAACAGCATCATATATCAAGTTCAAACACCGACCGCTTTTAATAAAATTTGATGGAGAGAAATGGTCCATACACACATAAGCAGGTGCCGGGAGTTGCATCTTGCAAGCCTCCATCCACTTTCGTCGCCTCCTCTCATCTGTGGGGACAATAAAAAAGCTCCCATTTCCTTTTTTGGAAATTTTCTTGCAAATTATACACCTTTTCATAATTTTTTAGTACATAAACCACACAAAATTCAAGTTTTTTCACTTTTATTTTTATTTTTTATAAAACAACACACAATTTAATTTTTTTCCACTAAAACAAATATGGCAAATAATTTGACATAAAAGTCTTTGGTTGAAGCTGTCAAAAATTGCAACGTAAACAATTTTGACATTTTCGTCCATAAGTGAGTTTTAAAAAAAATAGTCAGCTGTTCTACTGAGTCTACTTTATAAATTTACTTTGGTTGTTTTTGTATTGTTGTAGTGATGCATATCAAGATATATTTGTCCAATTCACAACTGGTCTTTGTGTTTTGTATCGTTTATTAAAATACAGAATTCCGATATCTGCTTGTGAACAGCCAATTGTATTGTAAAAAGCCATATTGTAAAAAAGAAAGAAAAACATCTTCAATATTTATAAAAATACAATTACATTGAAAAACTAAATTAATTATAGCACAAATATGAATTATTTTTCATTTTATTTCACTTTAAAGCATTTTCTTAAATGTTTACTTTATGAAATTATTCTTCTACTGTTTTATCTTCTTTAAAATTGGGCATTCACATGAGAATGATAGTTTGACATTGAATACGAAATAAATAAACATATGAAAAACAAACGTAAAGTTATACGAGCTTTTTTAATTTAAATTACCAACAACATTTATACACAAGTGTAAACTAATACAAAAATACACACGATACGTAGATACACGAGGCTTGTGAATTGGACAATTAATTATAAGGTAGTGTTATCAGAACAGCTGATCGTTTTTTGCTATTATGTTCATTTTTCGCCGTGGTGTATAATTAATGTCAAACTTTGTTTACATTTTGTAAATGTCAAACTTTTTTTTTTTCATTCTGTTAATGTCAAACTGGATTCATTTTGTGTTTTTAATCTTTAAATTTTTAAACATCAAAATAAATTATAAATAGATTCAAAGTGCAAAGTGCCTTCAAGTGCAGGCACAATGTCAAACTACATATAAAAAAAATATAACCAATTCGCTTGGTATTCTGAATTCGCCGATGACATTACCTTATAAAATTAATATACCTTGAGTGGGTACCAGTCAAGTGAAAAAAATATTCAGCTGATTGAATAACACCACCTTATCTGAATTCGCCTTGGTGAAGTCATTTTATTTTGCGGCGAATTCATGAAATTTTTATAAATATATGTAATTTTTTTTATATGGAGTTTGACAACTTCGGGATAAATTTCCATTGACAAAGAAAACAATCAGCTGTTGAAATGACTTCACCTTATTAGTTTCGCCATGGTGCGATGGAGAAAGAGAAATATCATTCATCTCTCTCACGGTACGGAGTTTCTAAATGTCCACATCAGGGTGCACTCATAAGGTGAAGTCAATTCAACAGCTGATCACAAGTCAAAGTACACCATTTAGAGTTGCCACAATCCGAAAAAATATGTACATCTATATAGGGATTTATTATTTTTTAGGACAAAAAATTAATAAATAAAATTTATATTCATTTTAATCCGTAGTAAATTTATGCGAAATACTCAAAAATTGCACAAACTATTTATCTTAAATATGCATCTATTTTATCAATTATAGGGAACTTTTTACTAATCAATTGAGAGAGATTAAAACTTGATTTTATCATAGATATCTTAATTTTTAACATTTTTCCATTGTAGTGGTTTGGTCACATTTCTATAAAGATCATTGTATATTTCTTATACGACAATAGTAGAGACCTACACGGTATTATAAGTTCCCAATATTGACTGATAAAAAATAATATGTATATAATTTGTATTTCTGCTACTACATACTTAAAATTTTGTAATCTAATATTAATTTTTTGTTATTTTAATTGATAATTTATTTACTTTTTTAATAAGTAAATAATAAATAATATTCTAACCCCCTTATTCACAAACAACATTTTTATTTTATAAAAGGTTTATAAAACAAAATTTCCATACGAAATACCGTTAATAAAATAAAAATTTTGTTTGTGAATAAGGGGGCTTACCCTTATTTTTCAATTCATGTATAATTTTTAATAAATTATCTTATAATACATATTTACTTTACGTGAAGAGATTTTTGGGCATGTGGGATTGTCTTTTTGTAAGGTAAATTAAAAAAAAAAAAAAAAATACCGTGGCAACATGTAAATTTTTTGACAGAAGTATCTACTTTTGTTGTTTTTGTAGAATTGACTTCACCTTATAAGTGCACCCTGGTCCACACCAAAAATTGGACTCTACTTAACTTCAGGCACTTAAATTTTGCAAATGAATCTGACGGAATAGAATTTTTCGTATAAAACATATAAATTGATAGAATGTTAAAGTGTAGGGTATCTATATGACGACAACTATCAATTCCAATATTATTTGTATTTACTGTTTTTGCTGTTAGAGTTTTACACTATATCTGAGTATAAAATATAAGAAATACAACAACAAAGCAACAAAAAGCAGTTAATGTTTTTAACGTATATTTTGCAGGGGAATCTATTGAAAACCTTAATTTTTCATTTAGTTGCTTTTATAACCAATTTGTGTGCGGAGAGTGTGTTTATTATTGTTTTTTCGCTTTCTATTTGTTATTTTGTATTATTAAGATTCGACCAACGAACTGGTATTGAGTGCGGGTGTATTTTGAAGGGGTCTTGTGATTTTTCTATAAATGAATAGATAAAACTGAAATTCATTTTTAAAGAATTTTAATTTAACACGTTATAAAAAATGCCTCAAAGAAGGTATGAGTGTGAATATTCGAGTGTAAAATATAATTTAAATTGTCATTTCTACTTTAAATCATGTCTGTTCAGATAAACAAAAGTTGATTCATTAAATTATTTTCTCTTCATAATTGTTTTAAACCGAATGTAAAATGACTTGTTAAGCTGTGTGTGGCTTTCTTTATGAGTATTTTATTTCCGCTTAAAATATTTTATTTAAAAAAATCTTATCATATCAAAACAAAACGTAAAGAAGATAATTGCTATTGTTTCTGACTGAAAAATGTATGACTTTGTTTGTGTAAATAAAATAATTGGAATATTTTGACAGAAGTTTGTATGTAAATATTATTCGTTGGTTTTAACAAAAAATGTGTTTCATCATGGACATGCATATATATTTTAGAGCGGGTTTTTAAGTTGGCAATTAAATGCCATTTAATAATCAGATAAGTTAATCTGAGAATACATTTTATCTAATTTTAATCTCCTTCCCTGTCTTTGAGTACAAATTTAAACTTCTCAGTGTTGCCACAAAAAAAGAGAAACGTCACAGTTTGCAATCAACACAATGCCAATATTTATCTTAGGGCCAATCTTTAGGTGAGCGATTAAATTAAAATGAATCCTCGAAAGTTGTTTTTGAGTACTCAGTTAGTTCTTGTTGTAGCAGCGATACCTGAAATTACGTATGTATATATAGTTAAAAATTATTCCCTACTCTTCTTCTTCGCTCTGGTTATCCAAATCAGTTAGATCTAAACCCAGTAGACGTGCTGGGTCCCAAGGGATTCAGGTTCCAACTGAGTTGGATTTGCCCTGCAGTTGAAAAAGTGTTGAACATTGTGTGGACCTGTGCCACACGCAGGGCAGAGATCTTGAATGGTGTCGTTTATTCTCGACCAGTATGAGTTTAAACGGGTACACCATCCCGATCTAGGGGATTAACATTAGATCAAATTTTTTTTAGATTAATTAATCTGATTAATAATTGGCAATTAATTGCCAACTTAAAAACTCGCTCTTAATGTACCGAGAAAACCATGGGCTGGTGTTAAGATTCTAAAAAAGGACTGGACATACTTTTGATAAAATGTATTTCAACAAAATTCGCGTAATTGACTCTTATCTTTGTGATGTTTGCAATGTGAATAAAACTTTACATTATTTTCTAATGTACTTAATGTGACAACTTGAGTTGTAAATATGACTTTTGTCTGTTCCCTCCTGAAATTGGGTAACTTTATTTTTAAGTCACTTTTTGATTTTCTGGGAGATGCCAACCAAAATAGATATGTAGTCTTATTATGATGATTCGACTCTCTATTTTTGTAGGATAACCCAGCAATTTGTGAGTTTAATACTCAATTGAATGTTAAAAAAAAGTCTCCTTAATTTATACTAATCAAGAAATAAAACCCAAAGAAAAAGATACGAACATATTATTTAGATGGCCCTATTTTTAATGCAGGAGTAACAAAATATATAACCCCAGGGGCAAATATTATAAGTAAAGTTCTTCTAAAAATAACATCAAAGGGGATTAACATTCATCTTCTTTCCTATATATTTGTTTTTTACCATCAATCTTAATTGAAACAACAAAACCTTCGATTTAATACCAAAGGATGCATTTGACTTTTTTCGATCAACATCTATATATCAATCCATTTGAAAATGTGCTTGTAGTGGGGAAAATACTCGATAAGGTATACAGTGCCGACAAAAAAATAGATTTTTCAGATTTGATAATAAATCTCAAATCAATGCTATTTTTGTATATTTTCTTATGTAATTCAGGTATTATAGTTTTTTGGACATGGAACATTTTTATTAGGATTTAACTGAAATAGGCATTGGAAAAAAATAATAGTAACAAGTTATTATAATTCCTTGGGGACATTTATTTAAAAATATTTTTTCCAATGACAAACTAATATTCATTGTTTTTTTTTCACTAAAATTGGAAGTACTTATTTGTGGTGAAAGTTAGACTTCTTTTTCCTTACTTTTTTTGTTGGAAATTTATACAAAACGAAAAGGTATCGACAAAAAAACAAATATTTGTTCTAAGTTAGCATGTTTTGTTTAAAGAATTGAATAAAAGTTTCTTGTATATAAATTATCATATCTTGAAAACTATACATGCAATTTATTAATCTTTACCAGTTTCGTGTTCAGCATGTTCATCTTGTTAATATACAAAATAAATTTGAAGTTTTAAAAAATGTTGTAAAATTTGTATGGAATTAGCACTTATTTTCTTCAATAAAAATTTAACTTTGACGTGGATCATGCATTGAGGAATCCATTGGCATCAAAAACTCACTCTACTTAAAATTGAGTTCGCACTTTTTGAATATAGGGTGACGATTTAAAAACTACAAATAATTATAAAAAACTTTAATAAAGTTTTTGTTTGATTACATTTTTTAGAAGTCTAATGAATATATTTTATAAAAAAGATAATAAAAAAAATTTTGTTTGTAGGATTTCATACCATATAATATATGGTTCATATATTGAATTAATTAAGTCCCCTACGACTTTTTGATTCGTCAAGAACTTTTATATAAAAGATAATTTTAAGACTTTTACCAACTTATTTTATTATAAGCCCTGTGATTTAGCTTCAAATCTCCAAATAAATTGCTAATAAACCAAACATAAAAGATCGAAGCAAAAAGCCTATTTATGAAATTTACTTTTTATTTCCAATTCAATTGAAATGAATTGGAAAGGAATTGCAATTTATTTTGGCAAATTCATTTGAATTTCGGGCATTATATTATATTTGATATGACATTGAAAGCCTTTTTCGAAGATCTTTCAAAGGATGCCAAAATGGCGTATATTAACCATTTCATCATATGTATATCACGCTCACCAAATAAGATGCCAGGACAAAACATTTTAGAAATGGTACCTAAGAATGAACTAAATATTAATATTTTTCTATTACATATCACCATTTATTATGAATATCCATTGTTTTTTTATAAAAAATCTTTAAGACCACTGCGAGATTGATAAATTTAAGAAACATTAAATTGAACCAAAAAATTCCACTGTATGTAGTTAAGTATATTTTATAAATTTATTAGTAATAAAACCTACCATGTTTAAGCTAAAAATCATTATGATAAAAGTCATATATTGCATGACTTAGTTTATCACCTAATGGTCTTTCCAATTGCCCACAACATATATTGGTCAATAGATTGCGAGCATCAGTAACAGATTCACAACTATCGTAAGCATCCATTAAACACCGAGGTGTAGGATAGACCGACACAATAGCCAAAGCCTTTTCTAGAGACAAGGAATGTAATTGCAATAGCTGCTGAACAAATACCTCTCGAATTGTCAGGTGGGCATTACGAGCAGAATCATCATAGAGCGCCTTAAATTTCAACAGACCCACCATACGTTGGCTAGGTTCACTGATTTGAATATCTTCTTTTTCACAACTTAGAAGAACTTTATTTTTATAAAGACTTATGAACAAATTTGTTAAGCCTTGCAAATACATCATAGACCGGCGATGGTTTTCGGTGTGTTCTATAGCAAAATTGTTCTGAATTAAAGTATTACTAAGAGCTTGTTTAAGATTATCTAAGGGAAGACCCAAATGCTCATTATCCCCATAATCTTCTATTAGATAAATAATATGTTGTATCCCGCTTTGACGGAGACGATGTTTTTGCTCATGAAATCGCCCATCTCTAATACTAGATGCTAAGTCATCCATTCGTTTGCGTTCGACTATATATGGGAGAACCAACTCATTACCTTCTTTGTCGCGTGCAATCCAAAGAAAATCTCCAACAGTTAAACGCCTCACTTCAAATGCAACACTTAAAGATTCTAAATAACCCCGTGTTTGATCCAAGGTTTTTTTATTTTTTCCACTTGTCTCCTGTGTGTCTAACAGAAGTAGGATTCTGAATGTTCCGGGACTCATCGAAACTTGTTTATTACGTTCCTCTTCCTCGGCAATAGCTTTTTGTTGTTTTTTTGTTAATTTTATTGTCTTTTCTTTAGACGATAGAACTTTTTTCCTAGTTTTCTTTACAGATTCCACTACCATTTTTAGGTCTTCCTCATACAAACTGCTATTTAAACCAATAGCTTCGGCTTTTGTCATCTGCTTTTGCATTTCTTGATCTATTAGATTACAAAGTGTTGAACCAAAACCTCTAAGTATGGCGCATTCCCTGCCAGAAGACAACGGAAGGGGATACATTTTCAGTGCATCCAATGCTTCGCGCAATTTGTACTGTGATTTACTTCCTTTGGTTTCGGCTTCTTGTATCCAACGCTCTAACCAACTCTCAAAAATTGCGTTGGGATTTTGTAGTCTTAGTTCCAAACGTTGTACGGACATGGATTTTCTTTTATTAACAAAATAATATAAGAAATTTATTAATATAAAATGTAGTCACAATTAAACAGAGCCTTGTTTTTTATGCTTTTAAGTTCATTTCATCTAATATATGTATGTACATAGATATGTATGGATGTATGTACGTCTACAAACTTTCGTTTTATTTATGTTCTCAATTTTTATTGCTTTTTGTTTTGTTTATTTTAATAGTACTGGAAATTGGTCGTTTAGTCCATATACAAACCGAAAACTAATGCGCCATCTAGCGCCTGTGCCCGAAATTGAAATAACAGAAAGGTATGTATTACTCAATTCTCTTTCGTTCACTCTTTCTATACAAAACCCAAAAACATCTGTACCAGTGTTTACTGAATACAAGGTGACATCATTACCCAGCTGATCATTGTTTACAAGTTTTTATATACTCAGTAGGGTTTTACAGTTGAAACGAAAAGTCGACTTTTCGACTTTTTTCATTTAGTTAAAAGTCGACTTTTCGACTTTTGCATTTTATAAAAAGTCTATTTTTCGACTTTTTTCATTTAATTAAAAGTGGACTTTTAGACTTTTCGACTATAAGTATTTTATAAATAGTCGACTTTTTTTCGACTATTTTTTGACTTTTTTCGAGTTTTTCCGACTATTTTAGAGTTTTTGACTTTTTTTCCACTATTTTAAAATTTTCGACTATTTTTGACTTGTTTCTACAATTTTCGAGTTTTCGACTTTTCGACAAGTGCTGATCAGCAACTGATTTGATTTTGTTTTTGAAGTTGAAAGCAAACCAACTGATATTGCTCATTATAAAAAGAAGAAGAATTAAACCTATAGTGTATGTGTATCAACTTAGCGTCACGCGTGCTATGTAATGGCAATCTTGAGCTCCTCTGATCTATATGTGTATATAAAATGAATGTGTGTATGTATGTATGTATGTATGTATGTATGTATGTATGTATGTATGTATGTATGTATGTATGTATGTATGTATGTATGTATGTATGTATGTATGTATGTATGTATGTATGTATGTATGTATGTATGTATGTATGTAGTATGTATGTATGTATGTATGTATGTATGTATGTATGTATGTATGTATGTATGTATGTATGTATGTATGTATGTATGTATGTATGTATGTATGTATGTATGTATGTATGTATGTATGTATGTATGTATGTATGTATGTATGTATGTATGTATGTATGTATGTATGTATGTATGTATGTATGTATGTATGTATGTATGTATGTATGTATGTATGTATGTATGTATGTATGTATGTATGTATGTATGTATGTATGTATGTATGTATGTATGTATGTATGTATGTATGTATGTATGTATGTATGTATGTATGTATGTATGTATGTATGTATGTATGTATGTATGTATGTATGTATGTATGTATGTATGTATGTATGTATGTATGTATGTAAAATGTGCGGACATTCATTTAGGGTTCTTGGAACCTCTCATATGAATTAAATACTGAGAAACTATTAGAGCTAAAATCCTTAAATTTTTCGATAACAACTCTGACATGTGAATATTTGAATCAAGAATCCTCAAATTTTGAACGAAGAATTTTCACATTCATGTGAACATGGGAGGTACCATACCCCTATTGTGGACTATTAAATTTTTTGACAGATCTACTTTTGTAGTTTTTGTAGAATTGACTTCACCTTATGAGTGCACCCTGATATAGACTTGTATACACCCACTAAACAATTTTTGCCGAATTCGTACCGACAGTCTGCACAAGTTGCCGATTTCGTATTCGAATTCCGTCAGAATTCGTTACGAAAATCATATGAAAGGTTGCTCGGAATTCGGAACTCTTTGTCTGAGGAAATTCGGAAAAATGTGCAGAATTCGATACGAAATCTGATTTAAATTCCTGGGGAAATTCTGAAGGAATTTTCGACAAATCTGATTAAAGTCGGACAAATGTCTGATACCACATCTGACATTCTTTCGACAATTTGTACAAAGTCTGATCAAGTATAAGAAAGTCTGATAGATGTCGGATAAATGTCTGATAAAAATCTGATCAAGTATAAGAAAATGGCCTGACTATTCTGATCAACGTTTGTTGATCTATTTTCATATATAAAATTTATTATGGTTTAATTTTGTTAATTTTAATAATAATTTATAAGCTTCCATTATTCATGACTTCTTAAGAATGCATAAATAAATAATATAAACTTATAGATTATTTTTAAAATTAATAAAATTAAACCATAGTACTTACATATTATATACGAAAATAGAGTTCATTATATAGATACATCTATTTAAAATTATAAAATTAAACCATAAAAAAATTATGTAATTTTTTTGCTAATTTTTGTGTATTAACAAAGTTTAAAGAAATTTAAACAATAATCATCACATATGTATGCAGATGTTGTTTACTTGATTTCCAAAGACCAACTGAGAAAATAAAAGAAAATAAAATGACCGAGCAAAAAATATCAGAAAATGTGCTGACTATTATTCTGTAAAACATCTAAAGGAAATTTATATTATTCGCTTAATTGTCTAAGTTACAAAAACAATTTTCTTCAGATTATGTGCAGATTTATCGGATATAATTCTTAAGCCATTTTATATTTTACTTCAGAAAATGTACAGACTATTCTCCTTTATGTCTAAAAAATAATATAGGAATAAAAAACAAATTGTCCTCCACCAATGCGGAGATTAGTCTCATAATTGTCTGAAATTCCCTTTCGACAATGTGCAGACAAGTCTGATGTCAATCGTTTAATACTTCAGATGAAAAAATTGTTTACTGGGCAGTCTTGAAACGTACGTCAAGGCGAATTCAGATAAGGTGGTGGCAGTTCTGCAACAACAACATTTTACATGTATTTTGTTTTTGCATTTGGTTTACGTAGATGTCAAAAACCATAAGTACGGCGAATTCATTTGATTAAAAATTTTTGTAAAAAGTTTATATTTTATTAAAAAATAAAGATATTAAAATTTGTGAGGAAAATATATTCTGAATTGAATAATGTTTGTTTCAAACGAAAAATTCTATTCCGGCAGATTAATTTGCAAAATTTAAGTGGGTGAAAAATAAACATAAAAAAGTACATATTCATGAAAATATTATATTACGAATGAATGAATATTTGTTGCGAATGGATAATTCTACTCCGGCGGAGTAATTTTCAATATTTGGCCATAATGTAGCAGCCGCCGGACGGGTAAATACTTTATATGGGTTTTTTTTGGAACAGAATTTTTTTAGTTAATCTCTTTATCTACATAGTGTATATATAAAACAATATTGTTTAATTTGTTAACATTTAATAGATTTCAAAATTAAGCCATAACATAGAAGTCAGCTGCTGCCAGCCGGGTAAATACTTCATATGCGTTTCTTAATATTAAGTGTTCCGGAAGAATAAAATATAAAACAAATTTGTGTAATATGTTAACATTTAATAGAAAAAAATATATTTCTTAAATGACATATTTGTATACATACCAATTACGCCATTATTTAAATAAAATGATAATTGTTTACAAGATGCTTGGTATTTTCAGATTTTTTACATAAATAATTCAAAATATTATAAATATAAAAATGTAAACAATAACAAACTTTGACAGCTACGTAAACCAGGCGAATTAAGAAAAAATTATCAGCTGATTGAATAACACCACCAAGGTATATTAATTTTATAAGGTAGTGTCATCGGCGAATTCAGAATACCAAGCGAATTGGTTATTTTTTTTATATGTAGTTTGACATTGTGCCTGCACTTGAAGGCGAATTGGCTGTAAGAGAAAATTTTCAAAAACAGCTGACAAATAAATCAAAGCGAATTTATATTAATGTTTATAAATTTGAATCTATTTATAATTTATTTTGATGTTTAAAATTCGCCTTGGCGTCGGGTTTGAGGGAGAATTTTTTTATATAGAGTATAGTGATGCAGCTACCTTTCTAACTATGCCATGATCTCTACGTTAAAATGTTGTTTATTTCTGAGATACAATGAGCTGTCTAGAGCACAATCAGCCCATAAACAAATACACAAGCATTTTGCTCCGTTTGCTTAACAAGCAATTGTATTTCAATGCGAAGTGTGCCCTGGAAAATTATTAAGAAGACATCAGTGTCGAATTTTTGTACGAAGTTTGACAAAATGTCACATTTATTCATGTGTAATTTGACACATTGATAACTAACAACATGTATTTTTTCCATAGTAAGTGCCCAGACAATTCTTCTATTTTGCAAATGAAAACACAGAAATGGTGTGAATTGCCAGCATCTGGTAACCCTGATGAAGACTATGATTACAACCACAACAGTAGTTTAAGAAAAATGGAAGCAGAAAAACAAGAGGCCAAAAATTTGGTAATTTTTTTTATTAATTTATTGGAACCATCTGCAAATTACATGTATTGTATTTTTTACGTTTTCTTCCAGCAAATGGAGTTTGAGTGGGTGCTAAAAGAGGAGGTTCATCATTTATTAAAAAAATTAAAGTTGATACTCATTGTAAGTTGAAATAAATGTTATCACTTCTTTTGTTTCTCCATCAACGTTCGCCCCTCTTTTTGTATGTTAACACCCATAATTACATTCTTTTATTTTCGTTCGAATTTGCCGGTTTAATGTTGCTTCCTATTATAGGAATGCGCCCATCGATTTCCTGTTCCTTTATACGAAAACGAAGGTAAAAAGACTGAAAAATTTATACTCTCTGTACAACCGCCAGATCAGCTGAAGGCCATTTTAACTTTAACTGGCGATACAATAACAAAGGCGGTAAGTGAATAGATATGTAAAAATTAATGTTTTTATTTGTTTATATGAACATTGTACATACATATATACTTAATATAATAATACATATGTACTTAATTTAGTTTGCTAATATTGTTCAACATTTATAGGATATTAGCTTTAAGTTGTCCAAACCACCTCACCAAATACAACGGACCTCTATTACTCAAGATTCCCCATGGAAGTTGCAGCAAGTACAAGATGCTGCTAATCATTTGCAACAGGCCATAAATCACATTGATGACGTCGATGATTCGTATCACTTTAAGTGAGTATTTTACTATGTACATTAGAGTGTCCCAAGGAACAGCTTTTTGGGAATTTGGTGTAGGCACAAATCTTAAAAATTTTTTACAACATATTTCTTAAAGTCTTTTTGCTGACCAAAAATACTCTAAAATATTTTTTTTTTAACTTTTTCACATACAGTGAATCAATTAAGCAATTTGCCTATGTAAAATTTTATAAATTTTAAGAAAAAACTTTATTTGAACAATTATTTTTAGCAAAATAAAGCAATTTGTTTTAATTTTCTACCATAAAAAGTAAAATCGTAATATTAATTATCGAGATTTTTGATAAAATGCTGCATTATTTTATAAAATTTAATATTTTTATTACTCCTATATATTAGAATAACATTTTTTAGATATTTTAGTAGTGGAACGACTAAGTTTGGACATTTCTTAACCGATTTATTATCCTATATACCATTATTTGACTTAACATGAAATCTATCGTTTCTTTGATTTAATTTCGAAAATAATAAGTAATTTTGAATTGGATACATGATATATTAGGAAATCAATGGATATGGACCTAGAAAAAAATTTTAGTGGGGTATAAATCTATAGATTATAACAAAAATAATCTGGGATTTTGGTCATTTTGTATTGATTAACAAAAACTACATTACGGAAACCCCATCTATTTGGGAAGTACTGTGTGAATTTTATTTAGAATTGTATAATAATGATTCTTATTCAATAAAGCCAACACTAAGTACCATCCTAGCCACTCTAAGTATGGGGATATCACCGTATACCACTATAGAACTATTACATGATAGAATCTTGATTTTCTACCTCATATTTGGAATGCTTTATTTTATGAAGAAAATACAGTATGCGTAGTTGGTTTTTAATAGTTATTCTTGATTTGGGTTCTAACTATATATGTATAAGTGTATGTATTAGCTGAAAAATATTGCTTTTGTTGATCTTAGGTGATGATAACCGCCTCTATTTGTAAATATCTAAATTAAGTATTTTTCCCGTACCACACTATAGTTCACTTTATATTGTTTCCCAGCAACCTAAGGTCTGTTTAGAGGTCTAAATTTAACATAGTATTCTTTTAAGTTCGTATATGAACTTTGGAGAAGATAAATGAGGACTTCAATGGTTTTTGCTTGGATACAAGTCGCTTTCCTTTGGCAGTTAAAGATTTTGAAAGACAACTCAGTGCGTTTTTTTAAATAATTCTTTGTGTTATTTCATCAATTTCTATATTTTATATTTCTTAATGATTGATTAAACATCTCATAATTGAATTTCATTGATTTATACTTGTTTTAAAAATTTAAACTAATTTTTTATATTGGAATTGCCTCATTATTTCCCTTTAAACATTTTAAACCTAAATAACTACACAGTTTCACACAATGAGGATATGATTTTTGAAAATTACAATTGAAAAAACAATTGGAAAACATAAATTTACTTTTTAACTGTTTTTTTTTTAGATTTTTATTTATTAACAAAACACAAAATTCTCTTAAAAAAAGGTAGGCAAAAAACTTAGTTGATTCACTGTATGTAAATTTTGATAAAATTGAAGATACTTTTTTGGACAATTGTACTGAAATCGGCATTTTCAATCGCTGGTAGGGAACTGAGAAAGTTTTCAAAAATTTTATTTTTTATTCTTCCCATATTCGTAACAGTAACACGAATCATTGGAGAGCAGTGCCTACAGAACAATTATCTACGGCACATTTATGTATACATGTTTACACCAATAATGTGGATTTATTTAAAATTTTGCACTCGCTAGTAGCTGCAATCTTTATGTCAGATGTAGCCATTTATTTATTTTTTTAATAACACAGACCGACGAAAAAACTTTTTAAATCATTTTTACTAATCCTAGTATTATTTGGTGTGCTGATACCGAATATGGAAATAAAAAATCGTATCACCCACCTATTTTCCACATTTTCATCTTTTAGTCCTTTTGACTGTATATTTGACTCCCAAATATAAAATTCTGTAATTTTTCAGATGTTGCGAACAGTGGCTGTCTCTGCCTTTAGACTTATACTTTAATTTATAAAACTGCATTTTGGAAATATTTCCGACGACAGGACTAAGTTAACTAGTGGCGCCACGGCTCTGAAGTGGAAAATGGTTTTTGCAAAAATTTTACCACTTAATTTATATTTTTGGATTTTAACAGCAAATTATTGAAAAATACAGTGCCGGAAAAAAAAAAAAGAAACAAGAAAATTTTTCAGTGGAAAATCTATTTTCTGCCAAACTATATGGTAGAATTTGATGATCAATATCTCAAATGAAAGCTATTTATATGTACGTTCTTCCGTTACTCAGGTATTATAGTTTTTTGGACTCGGGAAATGTTAATTTAAATTTAAAACAAGTTATTATAAAGCATTGGGTATGTAACAAAATATTTAAAAAATATTGTTTTTCATTCCTTCTGAAAAATTTTCAATAGTAATGTATTTCTGAAAATTAAATAGACTTTTTGTTTAGATTTTTTTGGTGTTCGTCTTAAACTTTTCACAAATTACTTTAATATTCATCTGAACATTTTGGAGGAAAAAGTGCGGACTTTCATCTGGCGAGCTTGAAGCCCCCACATGAATCAAATAGAAAAATTCTTATATCGTATATCTTCAAATTTTACATGAAGACCTTTGACATTCATGTGAACATGACTTTCAATGGGAGGCTTGGCACAACATATGTATATGAATTAAATACAAAAGTTCGTTTATCTTGGAAACTCTTATATTATTAAAATTTTTCATAGATAGATAGAAACTGGTGAACTTGCAATAATTTGCTTACATATTGCTTTTAGGGTAGCAAAGCACACTGGGTATAGCTAGTAAGATATAAAACACAAAAATCCGTCAAGAATTGGTAGAGTTATTACAAATTCCTGCGATCATTTAGTATCACAGAACACTTAAATGAGAAATATTAAAAAAATAACAAATTTTGGAAAATATTCGAATAAAACCATGTCATTACCTTAAATATATTTGTATTAACTTTAATGTGAGTTTTTTTATCCTGATTAGATAGCGTAAACCGTATTTGGGGTATAGTCATAAATGGGAACCCCTTCAAACGGCTGTTTCAAAAATACAATTTCAAACTTTTTGCAATTTTGTTAAGCAAATTTTAAAATTTCAACAAAATCTCCTTGCGACTTATGGACAATAAAGAAGCGAATAAAATAGTAAAAAAAATTGGTCAATATCTCACATATATTAGCGATTTCAATTTTGAGGATTTCTGAGAAAACAATTTTTTGTTACATTTTTTAAAAACAAGCTTTATTGTTTTCTGTTATACATTTTATATAAAACTTTTAAAGAATATAAAATATAAGATAATAGGAAATATACATCTGAAGTTTTCGTATTCATAAACTTTGAAAGTTAAACTCAAGATATGCAATATTGGAAAATGGTGGATGATAGAAAAAAAAAACAGATATCAGATTCGGTTTCAGCAGCTAAAAATATATTAAAAGCAGTCGACTTGGTTTTAAAAGTTTTCAAAAACCTTCACTTCGTTGGCCTGTGTAATTAAACAAGATTATTTAAAAAGAGGCTTTTATTTAAAAATCGTTGGACACGAACCAGATGATATACGTCTGAAACTATAAATTTAATGGTGAAATACTGCGTTGTTGGTTTTTCATTACTTCAAAGTTTTTAAAGTACAATTTTCAAAAAAATATTTTAAAATACTTCTATTGATCTAATATTGCCAAATTTCATGTCAAGCGAACAAGAAGATTTGGGAAATATTTTGTATTATTTTTTTTATACTGTCAGGATAAAAAGATGTCTTTCAAAATTTTTTTGAAAAAATAATATTGAATACTTAAATAGATATTAAAGGAGAAAAATTTCAAAAGACATTTTTGACATTTTTTTATCCTGACAGTATAATATAAAAATAATACAAAATATTTCCCAACTCTTCTTGTTCGCTTGACATTAAATTTGACATTTTTTGATCAGTAGAATTGTGTCAAAATAAATTAATTTATTTTTATTCTAAAAAAAATTATATTTGTGTTTTCAAAGCAAAAAAATTTCAAATTTAAATTTATGAATTAAAATGTTCATAAAAAGTTTTCAAATAAGAAAACTGATGAAGAAGCATTAAAACATTGTCCTGCTGCAGATACAAGCTAAATGTAACGACGGTTTTATAGGTAATATTGTGAAATACACAAAAAATATTTCTTTCCAATGTTTGTTATGTTTAAATTTTAGAAATTTCATTTTGACAAAACTCAACTCTAGGCAACAAAAAAATATTGTGTTTGTTGTGTTTGTTGCCGAAACGCTCTCACCTTACTTATTACATCATGAGTAGAAGTATTTAAAAATATATTTTGAAAAAGGCGAAAGATTTATTCGACAACTGAAGAAAAGCCAGAGTAACCTAAATTATAGTTATTTTTGAAAATTCAGAGTCGATAGCCGTTGCGGCTAGTACTCTTTCCCTATTTTAATTACTTAATTGTATTTTGTAATTAATAAATAAATAAAATAAATATTTTGAAAAATGTACTTTTTAAAACTTTGAAGTAATGAAAAACCAACAACGCAGTATTTCGTCATTAAATTTATAGTTTCAGACGTATATCCGGTTCGTGTCCAACAATTTTTTTCTCTTTAAAAAGGATCATGAAATGAAAAACTAAAAAGTTTTTCTCCATTAAATTTACAGTTTCAGACGTATATCATCCGGTTCGTGTCTAATTTTGAGTGTCGGACGGTGTAATTTGTTAACTGTTTCAGTTCGTGATTAGTTCGAACACAAACCAAGAAAATTCAAACAAATATTATTTTTCCAATTTGCTTTGAAATTTTAATATCTGGCAATTCCATTTTTTCAAATTCACAAACCAGCTTTCAATTCAAAAACCACGGGGTGTACATATACATATATTTTATTTTTTTTTCGAATATAACATGAAATTTTCGAAAGAAATTTG